CACATTTGTGAAGAGTACCCAAATCTACAGGCAAAAAAACAAGAGGTTGGTAAGAAGTATTTTTTGTTGGAGAAAAAGGTTTATAGGTGAAAAGCACAAACACACTCCTCCTCCATCCCTCGCCGCTCACCTTCGCATCCATTTTTGGATTAAATATGAAGTTCAGACAGACTTTCCAGTTGCCGGTGCGCATAGCTTTGGAGGCAGCGATGACATGATCGCGAGGGCTTTCCGGTGGTCCAGTCAGGATGGCACGCTCGTGCATCTTCAGGGCTGTCATGAAGGCCTTGCTGAAGGGTCGGCTGCGATTTTCATTGTCCTGTGAAGCTGAAAGCGGAGGCGGGGTGTAGTTGAAATAAATTAGGCACAGACTACGCTTTAAGAGCAGAGCGTTCAACAAACCCCGAGGCGAACTGACCTGTAAGAGCTGGCATCTCCTGAATCATGGCTGAGATTAGGTAGATGCACTCAACAAGTTCGGTGTTGATGTGCATGTGATAGGGCACCTGTAGGGCCTTCTCCCTCTTCTCGTCTTCTGGTGTACGCTCATAGCGTGGTTGCAAATGCAGACTCTGGGCTAGTAGCTCCCTTATCCTACCAGAACCGGTGATGTCAGAAAGGGTGGTGTGGGCGTCACGAATGTGACCCTGACGGAATGCACACAGACCCATCTGTACCATGGCTCGGTTGTATAGGATCTAAAAAAGCAACAGCGTCTATAAGGTGGCGCAGTATAATCCGCGGAGTAAAGTTTAAAATCTAAAAAAAGCATGCACTTACCATTGTGGACTGATCAGCATGATCGATGGAAGCCTGGAGATTGGACATGAGCATTAAATCACGCGCTTTGTACCAGTGATCAAAGAGTGCCAAAAAGTAAATGTGACAGAGGATTGCGCGTGCCCGTAACCTGTCAGTTTTATCGTTTTTATAGATGTACTGACACAGGCGTTCAATGACTGGATAGGCGGCACATGGTCCGACAGCCTCGGCACCCTCAGCCTCGACACGACGAGCCCATTCGTAGTCGTACTAAAATCGAAATGTGTTGTTACTTAAACGTAATAAGTAGCACAATTAGATAGTATATGAATTTAAATAGTGGATGATAAAAGCGAGGGGTGGGCCACACCAACCTTGTAGTAAAGATGCTCTACTCTGCGCATGTAAGCTATACAGAGGGCATCTGGGGGAGCTTCGATGTACTCCAGGTACTCGATCAACTTGTCCAACAGATCGCATATCCTGGGCTCATCTCGTAGCCTGAAATTCAGCAGACTCCGGGTTATACGGCATTTTATGCTGAGTAGGAAACGCTAAGCCAAAGCCTGAAGTGTATCTAAGTTATGGAGACGATAAGCAGGATCAGTTACAGTTTTGAGTGGGTCAGCTACGCAAACTACACCCCAGCGACTTTTGTGGGGAGATTAAACGCACCTTTCATCGTATTCTTTGTCGTGACCGTTGGCATTTTGCAGAATCTTGTAGTATTCGTCATCTAAACGGCCCACAGCAGCCAAAAGATTGCCCTGGACACGATATGGCTTGACCTGAAAAGGTGATCAATGCATAAGGAACAAAAGTCTTCTGAAATGAACTAAAATACGAAGGGAAACAAAAGTAGAACGGCAAAAGTATGTAAATGACGTTTTTCAAGTAGTGAAATTGACTTGATTTGACAGCTTGACCAGCATTCGTTGAAAGCTAGTTAGGTGCAAAAAAATATTAAAAGCATTCAAGTACAAGACGCAATAAAAACAAAGCTTGAACACACCAGAAGGGATTCGGTTTCTTCGGTATATGTATCGGAGATAGTAACATCCTTTCGATTCTCCTTGAGAATTTCGAAGAGAGTATTGAACTCAGTCACGACCCTAGAATGGCACAAAAAGGGTGAATGCAAAGGACTAACAGCCGTCTTATGACAGCTAGTAGGATCAACGATTAAATAAACAGTGAACTACTATTGCTAGGAGTTAAAAAGACGAGAAACAATGTCATTTATTAATGATAAGGTAGCATACACTGATCAACCTGTACTATTCATACCTCTGAATGCAGCAGAGAAATAAATTTGAACAAGACTCACCTCTGAAATTTATTCACTGGCATAAAGGCTGGAGATTTGGATTCGTAGTCAAAGAGGACAGTGATGGTTGATAAGATGGCCTTAACATGAAGTCCTACGCCGAGCTGGAGTTCCTCTGTTAAGCAAATAAAGTAGACCCCATCAGAACACTTCAAAATTACTAAGAGGGTTCAAAAAAAGCACACAGGCATATGAAGTTGGAAGACTGTAATAATTTACTGAAGGCTCCTCCGCTTTTATCAGCGTTAACTATCACTGGAAACCGTGAGATTCCGTGGGTGGGTTGGATTATAGCAGCAGAGCCTTACGCAGAACCATTTTCACCCAATTTTCCCACGCTCGAATATTTCATCAGCGACAGCTGTTATGAAGGGACAATTAAGGGCTTGAATGAATGAGAAGGTTCGCGATCCAGGTAGTTTCCTTCTTCCTCGTCCAATTAAGGGCCTTGCGACCCGACTTCAGGTCTGGATAACCGGGTTAACCTACCTGTTGACAAACTTCTTGGTTATGACTTTTAGGAGACGTGATTTTCAAACAACGCGCTACACTTTCCTTGGGGAAGAAATGCTGTAATGCCGGATAGGCCTCACTTTCCTCCCGCTACCATTGTTTGCCAATGACAAGACTACGCGAAATCGATTGGGCATAATGGTTGGCAAAATCAAGAGCCCCTCACCACCTTGTTAGGAGGCTCATGGTGTTTGTTACTGGACTGTTTAGCAAGGCTTTGTGGCTCTGTTTTAAATGCTATTTTATCGGCCAACAGTCACGGGTTTTTTCCTGTACCAGTTAATACTTCTCATTTGTAGGGTTAATTAATGAAGTATCAGGTTAGGAAAAGCGAGCACTTCCGGCGCCTGCTTATTTTCGCCTTCAAGAAAAATCTCAATGCTACAAAAGCGGCTCGTGACATTAATGGTGTGTATGGAAAGGACGCCATGACTGAACTAACAACTCAACGGAGGTCAGCTGATTCAAAGATGATCCTCTCAAGATCAAAGACATCTCTCGTTCCGGACAAAAGGGCTGGCTTTGTTGGGAGGAACCTGAATGAACTTTTAAAAAAATAATACACGATCCGATAGATAACTGCCGCGTAAATAGCACTGACAACAACCCGATCCGTCTCAATTACATACACTCTCTGAAAAAAACAAGTTTCAAAGTTGGGGTTGTGAATGCAGCATGTTATGTCGAGAAACATAACAGGCATCGACGGTTTCCGATTGCTTAATCGGCACAGACGCAACATAGTGGGTGCAAACAAAGAGGTTCTTACCGCATGTGACCACGCGATGACAAAATTCAACTTCCACGCCAATACGAAGCACAGAAAGAAGCGTGTGAGCAAGCAACTCCGACGAAGCAGGATCTGCATCCGCGAAGAATTATGATTTGTGTTATGGTACGGAGGGGAAGCGACAGGGGGAGAACCCCATTACAAAAGGCTTGATCGAAAACAGGTTGACAGAAACTTCGATGCACCTCAATTGTTTTGCTTAAATGAAGCCATTTAACCGAAAAACCGACTGCCCAGGCGACTGAATCTGCATGAAATTATACGTTTCACCTCATCAAAACGGCAACCCAAAAGTTCTACTGGGGGAGTTTTGTCACATCCACCTAACAATCCTCTGTCTTCTTTTCCAGCCGCGTACAAGCAAATGGATTGTGTTACCTTCGACAATGATAAAGACGGAGACAGTGGGTTTGTAGAGCAGATAAAATGCTTTCAACTAATAT